CAGATTAAGTAGCTGAATCTTACTGGTATCTTAGAGACCGCTTGCTTGGTTTCTGCGGCTATGTTAAGCACGATACCCCTTGAGTAAGTGAAATATTCAGACCCCTCATCATGATCTCCTAGTCTAGTGGTGACGCTGTCCGCTTGTTGGCCCGACGTACAGGGTTCGACTCCTGGGTCCTCTTCATTTTCGTTGACTTTCGACTCTTGGACGAGGTTGATTTCCGCAACTGGTTCTGAAGGATTTAGCTTTTGGAGCATGAAAACCTCCTTTTTTGCTTTGGATTTTTCTCGGCTTTTGTCATCTCCGACATCGTGCTATGCGTGAAAGTGTACAGAAGTGACTTCAGTTTCTCCACCTCCGTTTTAAGGCCTACCATATCCTTCGGCATGACAGAAAATGTTTTGAAAAGTTCCATGTATGATATGCCATCTTGGATTTCGTAATTTGAGTCTATCGAACACGGAGGACTTTTAGCCCTTGATAGCAATAAGATAGGTCTGTTTTTGTGATACTTTTCCACCCGGGCTTCCGTGTAGGCCAAACACATGGATACATTAAAATTAAATTGTCACGTAGACGACCAGATAATCAGTTTATCGATGCGCGATTGTAACCTCTTTGCGTCCTAATCGCAGCTAAATTCAGCCGATCTTTTTAATTCATCCGCAAAGATGACGGCTGCGCAATCTGATTCACTGACGCAGTATTTTACGTAAATTTGGAAGAATAACGGACCTAAGTCTGAACCTTGTGTTACACCACTTTTTACCTTTGTCAATTCCGAGGTTGTTCTATGAGGGACAAAATGACTATTCCATTGAAAAAAATTTCTTGAATCCCTACGTCTAAGTCTTTTATAGATAAAAACCTCTGTGGTAGATTATCGAAGTCCTTCTTGAAGTCGAAAAATAGGACATCAACTGGATATTCCTTTTCTGTGAACTTTATCCATTTATCATGCGAGTAAAGAGCACTCGTGTGGCAAGAGCGTCCTGGATAAAAAGCCGTGCTGACCATCGCATAATTGTTTGTAGCTTTCCAGATATCCCATTAAATACCTCTTGATAATGTGCTCCATTGTTTTGCACGTGATGCAAGTTTGACTTACAGGACGGTTATTTGTGCAATCGAGTCCTGAACCTCCCTTATATATCGGGGTGAAAAATAACAGAGAGGAATTTGCGCAGTTCGATAGCCAATTACCTTTTAAATAAAAGTAAATGCCCCCCCCCCACTAAAAATACCAACGTAGCCCTTCCCCATCACGGAACATAACATGTACTCCCAAAACGACCCTGTTCACGTCGCCAATGAAACGTACTATGTCTCGCAAGACCGGTGTGGGTCAAGCCAGTTCCGCGGAAAATCGTCCTTCGTTAAGGGAAAGGAGACTGTTTACTTAAAAAAGCTCTTTCTCACACAGACCCAGGACAGAAGATAAATTGACTAAGATCTAATGACGTGACACTCTATGCAGCCGCAGTGCTAACCAATCCGGCAGCAGGGTGTAGCTAAGAGATACTATATGCGGCGGCTGACCAATCACGTAAGGAGGATAGCATGTATAAATGTTTGACTGAGCGCCACTATTTAAGACACAATCTATTGGTTGAACGCCATCGGAGCATGGTTGGATGGGGTTTGCCACCTGGATGCGTTGCTCTCTTCAGCTTGAGCCTGTTTGTGAGTTTGCCAGTGTGTCTGGCTGGATTGGAATGTTCGATTAGTAGTGAACTTCCAAAATGCGAATGCGATCGCAAAAAGATGGTCACTCTCTTCATTCCTCGGTTGCTTCTACCTGATCAACCTAATCTACTCCGAATGCGCTCAATTTATCCCCTAAACCTTCTGATAATCGACTTCTCTGTCGATGGGCTCGACCGCAATTACCGTTCGTCTTACCAAATCAAATCTAAAAGAAGTGCTGATGGTGTATTCATAAATGAAGTGCACTTCCGTCTGCCATTTGTAACGTGGGAAGGAGGCCCGATAAACCTCAGACTTACCTGCCAGTACTGCATACCGGATGAAGATGATAATTGGTGCCAATTCACAGAGCAGGAAACACAAATAATACGCGCATCCTTTGTTAATAAGTTTGTCGTCATTATTCGTGAATCAGACAAACCCAGGTACAAACCTGGTGAGGATATACGCTTTCGCTTTGTTGCGCTTAATACACGTCACCTTTATCCAAATAGTGAAAAACTCCAGTGGCCCAAATTTAAAATTGATTCACGGAATTTCTCTAATGGCAAATTTGTGCGGGTCACCGAAGATGAAAGACACAGACGTGAAGGATCTTTAGGATTCGATGTTATCTACATAGAAGACCCTAATGGTAATCGAGTGAAGGAGTGGACGAATGTCCCACAGACGACGGCATTTAATATGTCCTTTCCCCTGCCGTTGGATGCTTCCGCAGGTGTTTGGCGTATCGTGGCAAGGGTTTTCACCAACATTCAAACCCTGCAGGTGCATGTGAATAATAACGCTCTCTCGCGATTCCTGGCAGCAATTGAGGTTCCGAAGGAAGTGGATTACCACGCTGAGACGGCAAATTTTGATGTGTGCGCCAAATACACCGGCGGCATTTCATTCCAGGGGCACTACGATGCTCAAATCTGCGTCGGTACTGGAAGTGAATTGATGCAGCCGCAGAACCTAGATAATCCGTCAAAAAACGAAGAGGGTGTGTCTGGAACAAATTCGGCTGGACCCAGAGGTCAATGCCATCTTCTTGCTGGTAGAATTTTTGGCACACCTGAGAATGGAGGTTGCGTAAGTGCCAGCTTCTCCATGAAATCACTTATGCAACATACTGAAGCCTGGATTGAGGATGGCCATAAACTCAGTTTCCTTGTCAAAATACGTGAGACGGATACAGAATCTGGCGTAATACGATTTGGTCAGGCGGAAATTCGTGTTCCCAAACTAGATTCGGAAATAGATAGCACCTACCGTCCAGGTTTGCCCATTTACGGTAAGGTACGTCTGTTGGTGAAGAATGATGTTGCAATGCGTATTTCACTGATCGGCAGCGTGACCGTATTTGACCACTTAAGAAATAACATATACTCCACAAAATTACAGCTAAATTCCAATGTCGTGACGTCTTTTATTCTTCCACCAGTAAACAGCGAAAGCGACATTCAGATACGAGTAGGATTAATACGCGAGGAGAACACGACTTACTCCACCAGAGGCAAACTATCACCTGTCATTCAACGCATGTTAGTTCACGTTTGGCAGCAGAAGCGGACAGAGTCGCTGAGGCGTTGGAAAGCGCGGAGTAGTCTGGCTCTCAAGGTAAGAGGCATAAACAGCAATTGTACAGTGGATTATCCCAGAAGGCTAAAGCTTTCTGTCATGGCAAATGCGCCACTGGCTGGGAAAACCCTCTTTCTTGAGTATCTCTGGAGAGGTTTGCCGAGACAGTGGTCCACAGTCCTGCAACCGGCGACGTCGGGTTACAATTGCTCTGATGAGGACAGCGATTTTGGCCACTATATATGCAATGCGGGTTTCCCACTGGGAGCACTGGGAGAGATCTCGTGTCGGCCGGGTTGGACGGGAGAGAATTGCATGAGGCCGCATGGATCAAACGAAAAAAGAGAAAAGGCCCAAAGGACAATATTCATGCATGAAGCAATTTTCGAAATGGATTCCCATTCTGGGCCAACGCTCCGCGCCGTTGTTTATGTCGTCAATAATGATTCCAGTTTGACAAGGGGTTATGAAATAATCTCGGATCATTTGCAGAATCTAAACTTTGAGTCATGTCCGAAATCGTCTGACGGTGACAACTTAGACAAGCACACACTAATGCCTGGAGACACAGTTGGTCTGACTCTCAATGTTCCGACCGCCCGAGCCCCTCAAATGTACGATATCGATAACACATGTATCCTGCGTCTTGTGGATACGTCCTTAAAGAATTTTGAAAATTTTCAGGAGACCCTAGTCAACATTAATCAGTGTACCAATGAGCTTCGAACTAACGTTCATTTATTTTACAACCAAAAGTATGTCTACAACACGAAGACCGCATTCCAGGCAATCGGCCTTAATTTTATGGAATTTCGACCATCAGGTGTGCAACTTGAAAATAAAGTGTGTGAGCCCGATGAAGTTGATGGGCAAAGTATGGAAAATATATCTTCTTCCCACATACCCGAATTTTTAGGAGATTTTCCGGATCCCTTTGTTTCGAATTCACTCCCCACGAGCGTTTGCAATAGCCTCTTGAAAACACGATCCCAAAGTCTCTTACCGGAGGTTTGGCTGTTCGAACACGTCAAGCTCGACCAAGCGGGACGTTTTAAAACCCAGCTTATAGCACCAAATAGAATTACTAGTTGGGAGTTTACGGCTCTCTGCTTCACACCTAACCTGGGTATCTGGATGCCACGTAGACCCGAGCCGGAGACTGTGACCATCTTGCTTCCCTTCAACGTCGAATTTATTCCTCCGATGAAGGTCAGGCGACACGAAATCTTACATGTACCCGTCAGTATCTTCATGTTGTCGCAAACCTCAGCCAATAAAACTGCGGATGAGAAGACGTGTTACGAGATTATCGTTTCAATTGCAGTTGATCGGAAGGATTGGCGGCTCATCAGTAGTTCCAACTTTACCAAACGCATGTGCCATGGGGATCCGAAGGCCACATTCACAGTTGATCTGCAGCCGCTGAGGCTTGGACGATTAAATATGACAGCAGAGGCCAGCACGCCAGGTGGCTCCGTAGACGCTGTTAGACGTTTAATCCTTGTTGTACCCGAGGGTGTAGAGGCAGAGGCTAACATGGGAGGAGAGCTGTGCATTCCTGCTGGAAGAACTACGATGGAGAAGGTAATGCGCCTAGACCTACCAGAGGAAATAGAGGAGGGTTCACTGCGTGGCTATTTTTCAGTGAGTGGCGATGTACTCGGCAAACCAATGAAGCATCTGGATAATCTCGTCAGTCAGCCAACAGGCTGTGGGGAACAAAATATGGCGAAAGTGGCACCAAGTGTATACGTACTCAAGTATTTGGTCGCTGCTGCAGACCTACAGGACCCTGAAAACAAGAAATTGGCACAGACAACGATCAACTACATCAGCAGTGGCTACACCAATCAGCTAAGATATCGTAAACCTGATGGCTCTTTCGTAATTTTCCCCCATGTTAATCCCGGCAGTACCTGGTTAACGGCGTATGTATTTGGTGTGTTCAGTGAGGCTGAACGGTTGCTGCAGGAGAAGGCTCTAGAAAAATTACGGATTGCCAGTGTTACTTTTGATTCCACAATATCCAAAGCATTTGAATTTCTTAAATCAACGCAACGGAAAGATGGCTGCTTTGTGGAGTATGGTCGAGGGCTCGGGGGCATTCGCAGTTCTTTAAAACTTACCGACCTTCTTGTAACCTCCTATGTCCTTTCAGCACTGTTCGAAGCCCCGGCGACGCTGAAAAAACGCAATGCTCAACAGTATACTGATACTATAGACTCGGCGGGTAGATGTCTGTTAAGCACTATTGATTCATTCAATATTTCCAATGTTCCCCTACAAGTTCTTGTCAAGGTGGCCTTTGCACTCAGAATGCTTATTGAGCAGCCTGCCTACCTAGAAAAGCGCGAGCTAGTTTACGAAGAGTTGGACAGCAGGGCCTCGGAAATGGAATCGCCTAGCGGAGCCCTGCGCTGGTGGAAGGAAACAGCTAATCCTGCTGCCGAAGTCGAAAATACTGTCTTCGCATATCTCGCTCTCGCGAGGTATCATTCTTGCTCCGAACAACGACCAATCATCCGCTGGCTGCTGACGAAACAGAATGATCGGGGTGGCTTCTACTCGACTTACGACACTGTTTTGGCCCTGCGGGCACTGGCGGATGCGGCTGAATGCCTAAAACTTTCGGGTGAACGAAACGCCCCCTCAGTAGTTACAGCCACCATCCTGCCTGCGGGCTTGAAGTCGAGGGCAATAGTGGTGAATCGAACGAATGCACACACATCCCAGCAAGTTGAACTTGACTGTCACAACCACAACGGGTCGATGGAGGTAAAGGTGGAGGTCTCGGGTCCAGTGAACGCCACCTGCGTGGTGGTGCATCTATCTGCCGTCTTTTGCGTGCCTTCCGTTGCACCCATCATCAGCAACACCGATCAGGTCACAGAACATTCTGCCGCTTTGCCTAATACCACCGACATTGGCTCTTTCCCCTCTATCATCAATAAGACCGATCCGGAAATCAAAAGGTCTCCCTTTTTCCTTACTGTCCGCACAACCCAGGCTCAAGATTTCACCCCGGAATGTATTCAGCCCAAGGCAACCATATGTGTACGGTTATCTGAAAGCGCTGTTACCTCCAATGACTCTATCGACACAAACATGATACTCCTTGCATTTCAGCTTCCCACTGGGTGGACAATTATAGAAAAAGACTTGACGCGGCTGCATTATCCTGGTCTAGGCGGTGCTGAGTTCGATGTAGAGAAGGAGACGCTGTTTGCCTATTTCGATCCATTCACAGACTTAGAAGCTATGAATATTGGTGGACGCAATAAGCTGGTGCGATGCATCAGCCGAAGGCTTAAGCAACAATCTTTTAGTGATCCTTTGAAGCCATCCCTTATATTTGCGGAAGATTACTACAATCCACAGAAAAAGACAGAAATCCGCTTTCTGCCAAGTAACTGCAAACTTTACTGGGAATCTCGATTTTCTGCAAAATACAACAGAACTGAGGAGATTTAGGTGCCTATAGGCCTAAGAGCCAAACTTTCCTGTTGCACTCTTCCTCCAAGAAAGTTTCTGTTGATTTTCTTTTACTTTTTCTTCTGCATTTTTAACGACTGTTCTCTCAATTACCTGCGGACTCCCCATGACGATCAACTACTTTCCTAGTATTCTATTTATTCACTTTTTTTCAAATTAATCAAACGCTTTATACTGCGTCACGTTCATACACTTCATTAGCCTACCCTTGTGTTGTACACTTGGTACCATTGCTTGCGCTGGGATGGACATCGGAGTAACCTTATAGAGCCGTTGATAATTGAAAATAATGATAAAGTAGAAGATAGGCAATTAAAAAATTTCGACGATGAAAATAGATGCAGAGTTCAACGTGCCTCCGTTTTCAAAAAGTATGTTCAGGAAAAATAGGATAGATGTGCAAAGTAAGCTCATACGACCATATCCGCTCGGAAAGGGATAATTAAATTTGTGCATAGTTTCTTCGTGGTCGCTAATGTACACAGCTGGTTTATAAGGACATCTAGGTTCCCTGGGAATACAAGGCTGAGAAAAGGAGTTCCTTAATTCCCGGCAGTCCTTCCTCGGAGTCATGGAGAAAGCTGTTTGAAAAAAAAATGCGGAGAACAAGAGGTTAATATAATCAGTGTTATGGCTTATGTGCAGATAGGCTAGGTAACGACCTTATTTTACTTGGAACGTTCTTCCAATGAAAGCCACATCTGGAGGCAAAGAACAAAGAGCGTTTAGATGAGGAGAATGAAGCGGGAGGTATAACAAGTGCGGAATTTCTTAGGTTGTAAGGACGGCTGACGGGGAAAGCGGGAAGACAGCTTGGAAAGGTCGTTACTATTTTTGAGTTGAAAAAAAGGAATACAGAGGCCTGCCTCTAATTTCCTGGCCAAAGGAATTTCAGTTTCGTTGATTGGCATATATTTGAATAGGAAGTACTTGACGATGCCGGATAAAGTAGTTTTCATGTGAAAGGTTTTTGCACTTTGTCAATTTTTGAACGGCTAGAGTCGTTCACCGGGCCGAAGACTGGGCAATAGTGTTCTAGCATGGGAAGCACAAGCATGCGATTGAGTAGTAATTTCATTTCACGAAGATAGAAATTAAAATTAATAAAGCCGCAAATGTATGCAGCTTTGGCAACAATTATATAGGCGTGAGTAGTGGCTTACTAACCAAGGAGGCATCGACGTCCTCTCAGAGCCGGGTTGTAATGATACTCTCCTACACTGGGGATGCGAGTCGCCCTCGTGAGGGCCAGGTGGATGATATCATGCAATGAAATGAGGAGAGCAGTTTGTAAGCAGGATGAGTGTTAGGTATGTAAACCAGTTGGATGCCTGCAGGCGGAATTCAATGTAGGCAAATCAGAATGCTGTCTGAAGGCAGGGCATGTACTAAGAACGAGGGAACAGTTCAAGTAATGAGTCATGTTAACTAAGACAACCCTCGCGCGGGCTTACTTCTAAGAGGCTGACGGGGGTGAGCACGAACCCGTCAATCAGGCCCTCATGACAAGTCTCGGATAAATTCGGACAGTGCCAATAGGACGGTGATACGGTGGTGAACGGCAGCCTCTGCTGCTATATGATTTCTCCAATGACAAGGAGCGTTTCCAACCCTCATTAGTTCTTATCAACAATCCTGTCCCACTGCACAACAAAAATTCTTTCAACCAACCTCTTAATTTTCATAGCGAAGGTTTTTTTCTCCTACGTTTGGTTTTTTTAAGTGGGGGTCCGCTGAACTCTGCCCTAGCTTTAATGGTAGGTGTTTTTTCACTGCTACCTTCTTAGTTTACCATATATTTTGGAAAGTAATGAGTATTATTTTAAAATGACGATATGTTGGCGGGTATGAATTTATCTGCCTACCATATTAAACACTCCCGCTGCTTATGTGGTTGCTCACAAATAACAGCATTTATCAACTTTTTATTTAATTTTCCACAGCAATAAGTTTGCAGTGACGAGGTGGACCTAAAATATAAAAATATAATTATTTATTTTGTAGGGATTCTAAGTGGGGTATTTGAAAGTTCCTTATTTAAAATTGCCACCTACTTAGTTTCTTTTAAGTAGGCTAAATATCGCATAATCTTTCAGTTTTCCACACGCCATACGTCGATCCAGCATGTTTTGAATATGGCATTGAACTGCAGAGTGGTCCTCAGAAGGCCGCCGCAAACAAAAAGCGCTTTAGTCAGTATCCTAAGCAAAATTAGCCTATTAACTTAAACACGGGAAAAACCGACGACTTACAAATTTTAGGTAGCGTAATTTCCACAATCCTCCTATTTTTATGCTGCGTTAACCCTTTTCTGGTTGGCGTAAGCAGTATCACTAAAATGAACCCATAAGACCTCGCCCGAAGTTGGGGCATGCTCCCCCGACATACACGCGCTCGCCGTTGGTCCGGTGGGAGTGGGTTGCGATGATATTAAAGCATGCTTCAGTGTCCCCGCTCAAGGTTGGAATACGCGCCTAACTTACCT